TCCATGGGGCTGCTTGAGTGTCCTCACAACATGGCGGCTGTCTTCCCCCAGAGTGAACCATCCTCAGGTGAGAGCAAGAAAGGAATGATGACATGTTGTACAATGTAGCCTCGGAAGTTTCATGCCCACCTTCTTCTCATTGGAGTCAGTCACTAGGTTCAGCCCACACTCGACGGGAGGCAAATAAAGTTCCACGCTTAAAGAAAGGAGCATCCAAGAATTTGTGAACACATTTTAACACCACCACACACACACCCCTCCACCTGTGGGATCTCCTGGTATGTTTGTTCTTTCCCCAGCCCCGCAGCTGCTGACCTCTCTTCTGGGTGGATCTCCCTGCACCTCGGTTCTCCTCTCCCTCACACTTTGTCCTTTCTGTCTCTGAGAACCGACTGCCTCTTGCTTTGGAATGGATAACACCCAATGGGCCCTTTTCTTGAGATGCGTTGCATCTATCAGTTGGTCCCCTTGTAAGAGAGGGCTTCCAGGGACATCTGAGGAGGAGGGCTTGAGAGGGAGAGACTGAGACATCGGTGGAAAGAGGCTGGCCCAGACCCAGGATGTTGCTGGCGGTCGGGCACCAAGATGCTCAGTTTGTTTAAGCTGCTCTTGCTGCATCTGCCAGGGTGGGCAGATGGATTGGGCAGTGCCACGTGCTGCCCCAAGTGTGTGCCCGGGGTGTGTGGAGGCGTCTGGGTGTGTCTGCCTCTCTGGCCGGCACCACACAATCCAGGGTAAGAGGTGAGCTGGCAGTTCCCACTGGTTGTGCCTCAGGTGACCAGCGTTTTGCAGGCTGCTCCCCGAGGAGCCCTCAAGGTTCTGGAGAATGCCTCAGAGGACAAAGGGGCCACACAGGGGTTGTCCCACTTCCCTCCCTGTGTACCTCTCACCCCCAGAGCCAGAGCAAGCAGTGCCTTTTTCACATCTGTTTACAGAACAGGTGTCCACTAACAGTCCTTTTTAGGAAAGGATTCCATCACTATGAAAAAATAATGAAACCTTGCAGTGCCTGGGCTTTTTGGTTTTAGAGGAAGGAATCTTTTCCTTGGCTGAGTATGTGACCTCAGTTTTGCTGTCTTCCAAAGAGATAAGAGAGTCCCTGCCTCCCCCTCAAGCTCCCTGTGTCCCCTCCCTCCATCCCAGCTCGTCTCAAGGGACATGGAGGCACCATTCCTGGGTGATGTGCCCTAGAATAAAGTGGCTAGACTCTGGAGAGATGAATGTCTCATGTCTCCAGACAGAAAGGAGCAAGAGAGTGGGGTGGGGCAGGGGGACCACAGGAGCTGGGGTGTGTGTGTGACCATGTGTGGAGGTGTATACAAGTGAGTGTGATTATGGGCATGCTGTGTCTCTGTGGGTAGGTGTGTAAGGGGCATTGGACACCAGGTGGAGATGAAGGCAGGTGGGTGGTTCCTGTGGTGTTCCTGTTCCCTCCCTGGGTCTCCCGTCCCCTAGGGGGACTCCCTGTATTCCTTCTTGGCTTTCCTGGCCCCACCCCCCACCGAGACTAACTCCTCAGCCTCCCTAACTCCTTTCAGGGTCTCCTTATCCTCCTGCCCCTTAGATCATGCCTGTTCCCCAGATCTCCTTGAGTCTCCCTGCCCCCCAAGGTCTCCCCTGTTCCCCCTCCAGGGTCTCCCTGTGCATCACTCCCAGGTCGCCTCATTTCCTTGGGGTCTCCCTGTCTCTTGATGGCCCTAGGCTACCAAGTCTCCATGTTGGATGGGTCCCCTCTTTCCTGGGGTCTCTCTTGTTGCCCCTACTCCCATCAACAGACTCCCCACTTCCCCTGGCATCCCCTGGTTCCCAGAGCCTTCCCCTCCCCCAGGTGTCCACGTTGAGTCTCCCTGTCCCCGTGGTCTCCATGGTGGCAGCTGCCCTGCCTGACAGCAGCCTCCCCCAGGGGTTACCTGTATGCCGGGCTGGAGTTCGGCGCTGAGTGCTACTGCGGCCACAAGATCCAGGCGGCAAACGTGAGCGAAGCAGAGTGCGACATGGAGTGCAAGGGCGAGCGGGGCAGCGTGTGCGGCGGTGCCAACCGCCTGTCTGTCTACCGGCTGCA